AACGCGGTTACGCGTCAGATGAGAACCCGGAAATATGTGTGCCCAGTCCACATGAATCTGTATGGTGTGTGTGTGTGGGTGTGGGTGTGGCATAAGTTGTGTCCAGCCTCTCCTCAAAGGAAATAGCTGCAGTGTCTCTGTGGTGCTGAAACTATATGGAATGCCAGCGGATGGTGGGTGGAAAGTAGGCCATGGGCCGATAATCTTCTACGATCAGCACCGCATGATATATCTTACCCATCACACCACAACCATACAGGTTCAAGAGGGAACAAACAAACTTGACGCAAGAAGGAGGTTCGCACTCAATCAATGGCTGGCGTTGACCTATCTCGGGTGATGCACAGTGCATATAGTATGGCACGGGTCAGTTCAGGAGGAGTTCTCCTCTTTCTTAGTACAGCTCCAACCCACTCGTCTACATTTGGAACAATTTATCGCGGCTTGTTGGAATGGTTCCAGGTTTCCCCACGATTCGTCCCTTGGTAGGTGTGGTATAGTATACCTGGGGTGAAAATGGCTTCTCTCTGCAAATTGCCTGAGGTTCGGTTATGCTAGCCATGCTTCCATCGTAAGGAAGAGATTGTGTTGATTTGACAGGTCTCGTGGAGATGATGAGGGCTGGTAGATTGTAAGTGAACAAGAAGCCCTGCCTGTGATGGTTGGTGAACGATTTGCCAAGGGGTTAAGAAGAAGTAGACACTGTCCTCATTGTGAGTCCCAATTGTGCTCTGATAAGGCAAGATAACCCCAGAAAATAAACTTGAACTGTTAATCGGCAGTTGAAGCCTAAGCCATCCAGACCTGATTAGAGTGCAAAGTGGGCAGTCGAAGTGGTCGAAATGAAGAAAGAGTATTAGTTAGTGGCCGAGTGGTTTTAGTCGGACCATAAGGTAGGTAAAGGCAGTAAGTTGATTAGACTAAGGCCCATAGTAACTAGGTGTTGTAGTATGTAGTAAAAACAAAGAGAGGCAATGAAGTTCCCCCCTTTCTTTTCCACTCAGTTACTTACTGTACTGTACTCGGGCAGGGCCACCAAACAGTCTGGCTCCAACGACCCGAGACTAAACACTGCAATCCCTCCCACCCCCCCCCCAATCCATCAACTCCGCAAGACCCAATCGCTCTCGCTCCTCCTCCTACTCTGTGTCCTCCACCTCCGTCCTCCTCTTCTTCCCCTGTCTCTCCAGTAAGTACTACTACACTATTGTCTTCCCTCTTTCTATCTACACTTTTCTTTTTTCCTTCGCCTTCCTCCTAGTTTTTGTTTTAGATATTTCCATCGCAGCCATAATTTGTTGGCGCATTGCTTGCTTGCTTGCTTGCTTTCAAGTCGTGCTTCCCAAATCTCCCCTTGGTTTCGGTCCCATCCCTTTTACTCCTCCTACACCCTTCCCCCCCCCGTGATTGACTGAACCTCAACCCTTTTCCACATTGATTCAGTACCCCAGGTAGGATTGCCATCGCCTTCCCTTGGACTCGCCTTCCCTTTTTCTGCTGTTCCTCACCCAGACTTGGAAAGTGGCATTGTCATTCCCATCTCGCTGGCTTCCATTATTACCTCCGGCTCCTTCCCCTTGATTGCATCCTGCAAGGACTCTATCGCTAACCAAGAAGGCGCAACCTCTTCAGGGGAAACTTCCTCTTCGACGCTCGCTACCTCCCTCTACGCTCGCTTCAAAATCCTACACCTTTAAACTTCCACAATGGGTAAGCCTGTCATCTATGACACCTTTTCCCACCACCCTGCAGTTCCGTGCTCTCGTTTCCATTCGATCTTCCAATCCAACCCTTGCCCTGTGCCTACCTCGAAATCCTCGCGCCCTGTGAAAGAACAATGCCTCCTGTCAGGAACCGGAGTGCGGATGGTCGCTCGCAAGGGGACTCCGAAACTCTAGCACCCTCACCTCAGAAGAATTCACCGAAGCCTAAACGTCACTCGTTCTCGCCGGTGCTGGGGCGCCTGTCTTCAGAAAGTGACAGTCAAGAATCTGAAGCGACGACTGCTAACTCTGTTCCGCATAATGTAGCCACACCCCCTCCTGCTCCTGCTGCCAATGGCACCCCGGTCTCTGCATCACCCCCCAGCAGCAAGCCCAGCTCGCCTTTCGTTGAACGCAGCAACCCTATGGGCTCCGGGGCTGCTCAGACCGTCAGCTCCAAAGACCCCAAGGCTGCTGCTCAGGCGGCTACGGATATGAAGAATGTCGTTCGCCGGAAGCTGACAGGCTATGTTGGTTTCGCCAACCTGCCGAATCAGTGGCACCGCAAGAGTGTTCGCAAGGGCTTCAACTTCAACGTGATGGTTGTCGGTAGGTCTCGATTCCGTTCTCAGGGTTGGGCGTCATTTGACACGCATTGCAGGTGAATCTGGACTCGGAAAGTCGACTTTAGTGAACACCCTCTTCAACACCTCCCTCTACCCCCCTAAGGAACGCACCGGACCTAGCCACGACATTATCCCTAAGACGGTCTCAATTCAGTCCATCAGCGCCGATATCGAAGAGAACGGCGTGCGCCTGCGCCTGACGGTCGTTGACACCCCTGGATTCGGTGATTTTGTGAACAACGACGACTCGTGGCGCCCTATTGTCGAGAACATTGAACAGAGATATGATGCCTACCTTGAAGCCGAGAACAAGGTCAACCGTACCAACATTATTGACAACCGTATCCACGCATGTGTCTACTTCATCCAGCCCACCGGTCACTCGCTGAAGCCTCTGGATATTGAGGTCATGCGCCGGTTGCACACCAAGGTCAACCTGATCCCTGTGATCGCCAAGGCCGATACCCTGACGGACGAGGAAATTGCCGCCTTCAAGCAAAGAGTACGATAATCTATACGCCTCCTCCCTGTCAAACCATAGCTAACCTGGCCATTCAGATCCTTGCCGATATCCAGCACCACTCCATCCAGATCTTCGAAGGTCCCCGCTATGAGCTCGACGATGAGGAGACTATCGCTGAGAACCAGGAGATCATGTCCAAGGTCCCCTTCGCCGTGGTTGGTGCCAACGCCGAGGTCACTGCCGCCGATGGCCGCAAGGTCCGTGGACGTAGCTACCCTTGGGGTGTCATTGAGGTCGACAACGAGGAGCACTGCGACTTTGTCAAGCTCCGTCAGATGTTGATCCGTACCCACATGGAAGAGCTCAAGGAGCACACGAACAACAGCTTGTACGAGAACTACCGTTCCGACAAGCTCACCCAGATGGGTGTCGCCCAGGACCCGAGCGTGTTCAAGGAGGTCAACCCGGCTGTCAAGCAGGAGGAGGAGCGTGCTCTCCACGAGCAGAAGCTCGCCAAGATGGAAGCGGAGATGAAGATGGTCTTCCAGCAGAAGGTGGCAGAGAAGGAGAGCAAGTTGAAACAGAGCGAAGACGAACTATACGCACGACACCGCGAGATGAAAGACCAATTGGAGCGTCAACGCCTGGAACTAGAAGAAAAGAAGGGTCGTCTGGAAACAGGGCGACCCATCGAAGAGAAGGGAAAGAGGAAGGGATTCTCTCTTCGTTAAACGAACGCACGCACGACCGGTGCTTCGATGCTCCTATCCAGGGGCTCTGCCAATGGGCCACCCAGGGTACGCATGGTCGTCGGAGGGCGCTTTGGTGGTTTGACGCACACTTCTCCACGACTGTCGATTGGCCGCACGCTCTTTTTAGCCGCCTGCCTTCTTTCTCTTGTGTTTATTCGTTCTCTCTACCCCCACACTCTCTCGAACCTTTATTTTTCTCGTATCTGCTTTCAGTGATGACTCTACATTGATTGTGAGGACCAAAGAAGAAGAATATCTCATTTTTTTCTTCTCTCGCTTCAACCCATTTAATTCCGAATTGGGGGCTTGACTAGGAGACAGGAATACAAGGGCTATATCCGACTCAGTGCTCTATTTGGATGGTCAGTGGTCTGGCCCTGGATGGGCAAGACGATGCACGGGGAGACGGCCTGCAGGATCACTTCAGGGTCGGAATTCACTGCTTCATGTCCACTCTTCGCTTCTTGTTATGTACTTTTGCCTACGCTATACCTTGTTCCCGCCTATTTCCTATTCCCCACCCTTTTTCGTGGCCTGGTACTATTACTTCTATTTATCTTCGGTACACTTTTGCCTCTTCTACACATTTTAGTGACATCGCCTACACCCGACCATCTTTTCTGGACGTTTTTCCTTTTTATTCCTCCATGTTGTTTGCTTGTTGTGTTAGTTGTCAATCTGAAGTTTTACCGAAAAGCGATCGGAAGTATAACCGAGGCTCTATTTGTGGCGTAGCTAGCTGCCTGGAGACGAAGATGTGATGCAAGAGTTGGGGAGAGGATATTATAATAATTTGAACATGATGAGCAGCAATTGAAGAAGCAAGAACCAAGAGTTGGTTCAAGTTCGAGGGAACACAGAAAGGGAAATAACCCAACCAGTAAAACCAATAAAACCAAGTTTCGCATTGTGTTTTCGGGGGGGGGGGGGGTGGTTGGAGGCAAATCATGATGTCGACAAGCTTTCCGCGATGGTTGTTTGTTGCATCATTGCGGGCGGCGCGACGTCACGGGAAGGGAAGCTCCGTCGAGCCGCCAGTTCGTCTCCCTCGGCCGTCGCGCTGCGCATGGACTGGGTCGGACTGAGCTGAACTGGACTGAATTGGACAGTGGCAGTCAGTCTTGCCTAGTTCGAGTTCACCACACACACACACAAACCCGCCTCTTCCACTTCCTCTCCAGCTTCCACTTCCACTTACTTCCCTCACCCTCCACTACTAAATACCCCCGCCTAGCCCAGCCAGCCTCCCTCGTCAGCGATTTAGTGGAGATCTATTCATAGCCCCCCTCCCCCCAAATAGCCCTTTTACCGCTCAATTCTTCTTATCTGTCTCGTTTCCTTCTCCCTCCCCAAGTTCCTTTCTTCATCTAGTCCCATAGCTACTCGATCCCATCGAGTTGCCCATAAGCCCATCGCCGTTACTCAATAACTATCACACATAATCTATTTATCCCCCATGGCTCCTCCACCCCCTTCAAATTTGCCTTTGCCCGAGAGGCTCAAGGCTCTTGCTCAGACGTTGCAGTAAGTGTTTGTTTGCTTCCTCCACAACTCGACTGCGTCACAGCTAACAAGGTCTTTCGCATCCAGATTCGCCTGGTTTGTTGGGTACGTTATTTTCTGTCTGCGCGACCCTTACAGCACAATATCGGCTGCAATTGAAGTGGATGAAACAATTCTGCTTCGCAGTGCCTGACCATGTTGCCAGCTTGGCTGTTTGAATCGCAATAACTGATCAGATGATAGACATGTGACATTGTTACTCTCTGTCCTACGCTATTTCGTGTCTTACATCACATTCAACTATTACTCCAACTCGGCCCAAGTCTCTTACCGCCTGGCATTCTTGTCGGCTGCTGCGACATACGGAATTGTTGTGTACAAGGGCCATATCGCTCGCGGCCGGCTCCAGGGCGGGCTCCCTAACATTGCGATCAAACTTGCTGGCGATGAGAATGTCCAGTACCTTGGTGGGTCTACTTCTCCTCCTTGAGATGTGAAATTGAAATTGGGGCGAATACGACACGAGGAGATGAGAGCTTCAAAAGCTGACAACGTCCACAGGCACTGCGCTGGTGTGGCTCTACTCGCGCCAGGTGTCGCTCGCTCTGCTTCCATTCAGCGTTTATTCCGTCTTCCACGTTGCGACCTACACTCGTGCTCACCTGATCCCTACCCTCCAGGGCCCTCAGGCCGCTGGCGCTCCGGGATCTCCCTCCTCTCCCGGTTCGCCCAGGCCTACAGTTAGACAATCTCCCTTGGCGGAAACTATTGGCCGCTTCGTGAAACAGTACTACGATGCCAGCATGGATCTTGTGGCGCACCTCGAGATGGCGTTGTTGTTCCGCCTGGCCGTCGCCGTTCTCACTTTCTCGAAGGGCAGCATTGTCCTTTTCGCTATCTACTTGGCTTTCTTCCGTGCGAGATACTCCCAGAGCTCCTTTGTCCAGAGCTCCGTCCGCCACTTCACTGCTCGAGTCGACGCCTCGGTTTCCCACCAGAGCACCCCACCCGCCGTTCGCCAGGGATGGGAGTCTTTTAAGGCTTTTGTGCGCCAAGCCTACGAGGCCACCGATCTCGGCCGCTTGAGCGGAGCGACCGCTAAGAAGCCCCAATAAATTGCCCATCCGCTCTCAATAGAGGCGCCTCGCGGAAGCTGGATAGATGTGATAAAATTGAACCCTGCGGCCAATCTGCGCCTGAGAGGGGCTGTCTGCTCCGATTATCGACTATTGCGTCTGATGAAGATTGAATGAGCCAATGACCATTTTCTTTGACTGCGTTCCGGGGTTGATGGTCGCTTTTGAGATTTGGAAACTGTGGATGGTATTGGAGGTATTGAAGGGTGGAGAAAAGGAAGGATATGTAGCCTCTTTATGGGCAGAAGCACGGATGGCTTTGGACCTTGTCGCAAGACAGCGAGCGGGTGAGGTTTTTATGCGTAATGTCTAGTGCTTTTGCTTGAGTGGAACGCGTCCTATTCCTTATATACTTTCTTTTTCTGCAATGCGAAAGTGGCGTGATTGATGCGATTGATGCGATTAGCTTTTGCCTCTTTTCCAATACAATTCTTCGACTTACTGTCTATGAGCAGCGCGGAGATTGTTTGCCCAGAAGCTCTATGGTTGTGATTGGCTTAACTTTCACAGTGACAGAAAGAGTGTCAGCCGCATAGTACGACTACTTACTGTAGATAAGTATCTACTTGATCGCGATCTAGAGATAAATGCCTATAGTCTACTTGTCAACCAAGAACATGATTGATAACAGAAATGTTTGTTGCCTGAGGCGGCGACACGGCCTCCGGACAGCGGAGAAAACTACAAACCGACGATAGGCCGACGAAATTTTGGGGTTTCGGGCAGTCGGGCTTTCGTCACTTTCAAGCTGTGATGTCCCCTGCTTATTAGTCCCCTTTCCCCAGGGTTGATTATTCTCGCATTCTATTGTATCTTCGCTCCTATATATCTTCCTCCTAATCCGCCGTCCCCTCGTGGTTCGAGGTGGCGTGCTCCTGTTAATCCACCGTCGCCGCATCCCAACCCCCGTGGTCTGGCCCGCACCACGATCCGGTGGGTTGCGGTCTTCTTGCAATGAGCTTGACTTCGCGTGTCTTGGGCTTCTTTGCGACGACAGAGACACCTTCGTCAGACTCCCCCGCGTCGAAGTCCCTTATTCAAAATGGCCCGACCGATCTCCGTCAGACGACGCCGATAAGCGCAAACAAGGAACTTCATGTACAGAATGCACAGTCTCACCATGACGAGGAAGAGGAGCCTCGTCCACCGTACCTACATGTATGTAGCTTGTCTTCGCCATCTTTACTGTTATACCGCGCGCGCACTTCATGGCGCACATCCTATCTCCATTCACGGGTGTTGGGCTAATCCTCCAATTCGACCTACAGGCAATGTTCGCTGGAGGTATTGGTGGCACCTGCGGTGACATGCTCATGCACTCGTTAGACACCGTCAAGACGCGGCAACAGGGCGATCCGCATTTTCCTCCCAAGTACACCTCCATGACTTCGTCCTATGCGACCATCTACCGACAAGAAGGCCTTTTCCGCGGCCTGTACGGCGGAGTGACTCCTGCGCTTTTCGGCTCCTTCCCCGGCACCGTTATCTTCTTTGGAACCTACGAGTACACAAAACGTCTCATGCTAGATGCGGGAATCAATGCGAATGTGGCGTATCTTTCTGGAGGTAGGTGTATTGTGGCGGCTTCGTCATTTGCGGTTGCATTTCGGTGCTAATCGGAAATGGGCTTATAGGCTTCTTCGCGGACTTGGCCGCCTCTATCGTCTATGTTCCCTCGGAGGTCTTGAAGACTCGCCTACAGCTCCAAGGACGCTACAACAACCCCCATTTCAATTCGGGATATAATTACCGCTCGACCAGGGATGCGCTGCGCACCATCATTCGCCAGGAAGGATTTTCCGCGCTCTACTACGGATACCGGGCGACGATCTACCGCGATCTTCCCTTTTCCGCCCTCCAGTTCGCTTTTTACGAGCAAGAGCAACGAATGGCCAAAGAATGGGTGGGCTCTCGAGATATTGGGCTAGGCCTGGAGATCCTGACGGCTGTTACTGCGGGTGGAATGGCGGGTGTGTTGACATGCCCGATGGACGTGGTCAAGACACGTATCCAGACCCAGCAGAACCCCGAGACCACACCCTCGAGTCGCCCTCCGGGCTCCTCCTCGCAATCGGCGGCGGAGCACCCATCGACCAAAGAGGGACCGCGCCACCACGCGGCTTCGCAGACGACGTCGAGCCTGCGCACGCATGCGCGCCCAATCTCCACTTCGGGAGCCTCCACGTCGGTGAACCCGCCTGGAGCTCCTCGCTTGGATACGTCATCGTTCTTCACTGGCTTGAAGATGATCTACCAAACGGAAGGGCTGGCAGGCTGGTTCCGCGGTGTTGGACCTCGTGGTGTGTGGACCAGCATTCAAAGTGGAACGATGTTGGTGATGTATCAATATCTCCTGAAAAAGTTCGAGGACTGGGAGAACAAAGGGGAGCTCAACCCCCTCTAGATGCGGGATGAGGGTTGGGCATGCTGATGTCCATTGTAGATAGAAGGATGGAAGAGAACCGGAGCATGATGATGCAACCTAGACGGGGTTTATTGGGGAGGGCGTTCCGGTAGGGGTGTGGCATGACCGATTTTTTTTTCCTTCTTCTCTTTTTCTTGTGTTCTTTTTACCACCCCTTTTCTTATCTTGTTGTTTTATTATCATAGAGCATCTCCCTCCATTTCCCTACGGTCGCCGCCCTCTTGTGTTTGTCCCTTTTGATTTCTGATGGCATGATTTATTGCATGAGAGGACATGGGATTTTACTGTCTCGGTCATGTTGTGTGTATAAAAAGATCAAGAACGAACTAACTACATAGATTACTAGAGAATAGACATGGTTCGATAATTTTACTTCGATTGTTGATTGTTAGTATACTTATGAGTTATGATTCAGGTAATTTGTTTACATTTTCGGGGGGGGGGGGGCAGAAAGAGGGAGATGAGGGGAAGAATGGCAAAGCGTGGAAAGCGTGGGCGATCCCCCCATCGGTATTGCTTGTAAATTGTACTCCGTAAACTGTAAACAAAGCCTCCCCAGACCCGAATGCGGTCAGCCCCACCAGATTGGCTCCAGACCCGCACCCCCCCGGCCGGTTGTCTGTTTACTTTCCAGACTCCAGGCTCCTTGTTCTTCGTTCCTCTTCTTTCCCTCCACCACTCCACGTCCCTCTTCTTTCTTCCATCTTCCAACGCATCGCGCCGTCGAACCTGCTTGGATAATATTCCTCATTCCCACGCGACTTCTACTTCTTAGAGAAGTCAACCTCGTCCTAGAACAACCCCTCCCTTGCTCCGTATCAATTGTCGCATGATCCACCGCAACTTGCGCGCGTCGTCATGTCCGCCGGATTGCCTTTTCTGCAGAAGCAGCGCAAGCCCACCCTCACGGAATGGGCTCATATCACTGACCTTCAGAAGTAAGTTTCCGTTTCGCCTCGCTGAATCTCCTCTTCGCTTCCGCCCGGCCAGTTGGCTCAGGGACCTGACCATCTATAGCTATGAGGATCTGACCAAGCCCGAGCTCGCCGCGGCGCTTGACTCGCACCTTCAAGCTCACCAATCCATCTTCATCGATGATGCGCGCCTCGGCGATTACTACAGGCGTCTGTCAGGATCTCCGCGCACTTTCTCTCCTGCCAAGAATTCGCCTGTCAAGACATCGCCGACCAAGAGAGCACCTAAGGTGGAAGGCACTCCGTCGGCAGACGAAGCCCCCAAGTCAACGCGCAAGAGGAGCTCCAGATCCAAGGTGGAGTCTGTGCAAACGTAAGTTCCCCCTTGCTTTTGTTTGTCGTATTCGTCCGAAACCTGCGACTTCGGCTTTGCATGGATCTCGTTTGCGCGTGCGATACTCGATGTTTACGTCATCGCGGACCCGGGCTGATTTGCGATCCTCACGACAGGGATGACTCCGATGTTCCCCAAACTCCCGGCCAAACGCTGGTGAGTGTTGAACCCCCATTGTCACCACTGGCGGCGGCGCTCCCGCCGTCCCCCGCTGTGGTGACCGATGTGATCGATCGCCAAACGGCGGCATGGGGCAAAAACCTCAAGGACATTTGGAACGCGTCGGGAGTGCAGGAGCAGTCAGATTCGCTGCGCGCCAACCTGAGCAGCGTCAAGGCCATCGCTGTCTTATTGTATGGGATTGAAAGCTTTGGTGTCTTGCGGTTACTTTTTCCTCTGAGACTGTTGACCCGCATCCCCGCTGTAGAAGCGGTCCATTCACCGGCTTTCGATATCTCGGCTCCTGACGCCTTCGTCTTGGTCGAGAGCTCCTTCTGGACTGCTTTCCTTGGGTGGCTCTTCACTAGTCTCGTCATCCCCTTAACCGTCGCGTATTTCTTCAATATCAGCTTGCAGGCGGCTCAGAGCGGTGGTCCGGCGGCCAACACTCGGCGTCAACGGGCGGCAGCGGCCGCGCAGCTCGCCAGCTTCGATCCTCTGAGCTTCCACATTGCCAAGGCGCTCATCGCGTATCTGGTTTACACCGGCAAATTCTCTTACTGGGGCTTCTTCAACGATATCGCCGTCGAGGATATCAACAATGCTATTCCGGGCCGCTGGCCCGGAGTCATCACCGGTTCTGCGATCGGTGTGCTTACCACCCTATATGAAGCTATCCTTCGGAAGTAGATATATCCTGTCTACATGTCCGGTGTGATAGCTACTACGTTTACCAGTTATATAAGCTTGTTCTGTTCGGCTCGCGCCGAATGACCAAGTCTTGGCATTTCTGGGGTTGGTGTAAGTGAATTCGACTTGTGCTCAGGTACTGTGGGAGCATCCCATAATCTTTTAGGCTGTTCTGGCAGCGAGAACAGTCGATTCCGGGCGTGGGTGAGATGTTTGTGCAATGGCAGGTCCAGAAAGAAGAAAAAAAGATATCATCTATCTTAGAGAGAGAAACTGGCGGGACCGATGGATCAAATCGTGGAGCTGGTTTGAATTTGCTTTGGTGTGTTTTCGCTTGCTTTTGTGCATGCTATGCACGATTGTCCTGAGGCGTATTCTGTCTTTCGATCTTGTTTTG